GTGGCTATGTTCTAGAACACTATAACCTGTTCAAAAACTCGAAAATTATTACTCAACATTACTATCTAGGAAAAGATACTAATACAACTAATTATGTCACTTAAGGTAATTTAGCTATTACCACAGGCTTGATTCATATCTCAACTTGCTCTAGAAGTGCCTTATTTCTTATTTTCACTTTCGATTGTCATGCAACTGTTTTTTAGAAGTGAAACCTGCATTGAATATACGCAGAAAAATATTGAACTCCAATTAAGCTGATTTTTTACGTTCATGAATCTTTATAGTAATCGAGGCCGGCGATAAAGCGGCCAAAACTGTTACGATGGCGGCAATATCTGGCATCTGGAATGTTGGTCCTTATTAGATCTTTTCTGACGCTAAAATGACGATAACTCGCAGCTGTATCGCATGCTTAGCGTCGGCTTAGGCGATACCAAACATAAATACCCTTACCAGTTACCACACCCCATCTCCTTTACTGTTCATTAATCCTCATGATGTTTAATGAACGGTAAATATCCGTTTAATATCCTCATGATGGCCCTTAATATAGTTCATATCGCATGCACCCAAAATATTTTCACGCGGCTCTCTTCACAGTTCCTATTTCTGCTCTAGAAATTATAAACAATTGCTTAAATTTGCTCGTACGTTCACAGCCTATGTAATTTGAAAAAATACTGGATTTTGGTTCCAATCGTTGGTTTGAGTTTGTTGCCATTACTTTGTTAAACTATGCTAGAAATGAAATGTTGAAGAACATACAAATTCAAACTACAGCCCGATATTAGACATGATTAAATAAAAATGTTTTCTTGGGAGTAGATGTAATAGGAGATAAAATATTCGCAACAAATGTTTGAAATAAGCTTGCCATATCGTTGTCGAGTGAAAGATTTTGTTCAAGTAATTTTAATGCAAAATTAAAAAACAATAAAAATGTAAGCGGAAAGAAATGTGTGCCGGAGAAAATATATGAGCGATATACGAGCGATATACAAATACGTGCATGCTAATACAGGGTGTTTCAGAATTAAGTAACCCTTTTAATTTGTTAATAAATAAAAAACTAAGAACGTTATGAAGTTGAAACTTGTTTTATTTAAAAGAAGAACATTTTCATGGTAATATTGTATCATAGTTACGTCATTATCCTGAGCATGCTACTGCGCGTATGCTACTGCGTACATGCTGCTGCGTGCATGCTACCACGCGCATGCTACTGCGCGTATGCTACTGCGTACATGCTGCTGCGTGCATGCTACCACGTGCATGCTACTGCGCGTATGCTACTGCGTACATGCTGCTGCGTGCATGCTACCACGTGCATGCTACTGCGCGTATGCTACTGTGTACATGCTACTGCGTGCTTGCTACCACGTGCATGCTACTGCGCGTATGCTACTGCGTACATGCTGCTGCGTGCATGCTACCACGTGCATGCTACTGCGCGTATGCTACTGTGTACATGCTACTGCGTGCTTGCTACCACGTGCATGCTACTGCGCGTATGCTACTGTGTACATGCTACTGCGTGCTTGCTACCACGTGCATGCTATCGTCAAAGGTGTGCATGTTTCAGCGTGCATGCTACCGCATGCTTGCAACTGATTCTGTGCTAATGGGCGCATGCTTGTAACCTCGCGTGATGCTCTCTTCATTAACAGTGCGCGGCCTCAACATCAACTACGTGAACAAAACAACGAAGAAGACAACAAGAACAACAAAAAACAACAGAAACAACAACAACAACAACACGCACACCGCACAGCCTGCTCCAGGAAGCTCCCACTTAGACGTGGGAGCGCCGCTTCTTTCACGCTTGCTCCACCTGCTGCTCCAAATTCTCCTCCGCCTGCGCTTGCTCCATCTCCTGTTCTTATGCGCCCACTTGAATTATTGCTCCACCTGCTCCATGTACTCCTCCTGCTCCTCCTGGTATACATGCTGCACTCGCTCCGTATTCTCCTACATTAATACTTCCAACCTTTCGTCTGTTTTTTCGTTATCCATCTTCTAGCCATCATTAATTTCCACCGGATATACTTACTCATCATACTCATCCGTCGGCTCGTTACCCGTACTGGCAACCAATATTTAATATTGCTCAACTTGCACAAACTACTGCGAGTGATTTTATGATTTTACCTTATCTATAAAGCATTAAATATCCTCAGCATTAGCTATACTTTTAACTTACCCCACCCGCTTCACCTACTATACGTAAACAGCGTATTTTTGTGCTAATTGACACAAAGAAACTCCGTGTATATTTTTTCTTGTTCTATTACGCCTGGATTACTGTCACTCTTGACAGTTATCGTCATCGCATGGGCCAAAAAGTTTCTCCGGCGTCGAAGGCGTTCGATCGTTCTTGTTCGTTCCTAATGACACGAACGACGAAATTAGTTCAAGTTAGACAAGTTTCAAATAAATGTCCTCCAACTTTATGAACTTGCGTGCAAAAATTGAACTCCTTGATTTATATATAGAACTCCTTGAGTTATCGTTGTTTGATTTCGACTTGAGTAAGTGTACATATTGACTCACAGACCAGAATTTTACCAAATATAGTCCAGAATTTTCAGCAATCCCTTTTAAGATGAGGTCTCCTCATATGCAGTGCAGGGTGAGCCTCTCTCGTGGCCACGAGGTCACGGAGGTCACGTGCAGGAGGTCAAATAGGAGCTGCTCTCGGATGACCTTTGACCTCACCAGGCCGCGCCACGACTCCTAACGAGACCAGTCAAGGAACCGAGGCCCTCATGCAGGGTTTTCGGTCGAGGTCGTAGGTATTACGGCAGTCGTAACTACTGCGTCAGTCGTAAGTACTGCGTCAGTCAAAGGTATTGCAGCGGTCGTAGGTACTGCGACAGTCGTAGGTATTGCGGCAATTGTAAGTATTACGGCAGTCGTAAGTACTGCGTCAGTCGTAAGTACTGCGTCAGTCGTAGGTATTGCAGCGGTCGTAGGTACTGCGACAGTCGTAGGTATTGCGGCAATTGTAAGTATTACGGCAGTCGTAAGTACTGCGGCAGTCGTAGGCATTGCGGCAGTCGTATGTATTACGGCGGTCGTAAGTACTGCGACAGTAGTATTAAGTATTACGGCGGTCTCTTATACACATCTAGATGTGTATAAGAGACAGCAGTTATGATAATTCATAGTCACTAATGTGTGCATCCTTACACCTTTATGATAATTCATAGTCACTAATGTGTGCATCCTTACACCTTTATGATAATTCATAGTCACTAATGTGTGCATCCTTACACCTTTATGACAATTCGTAGTCACTAATGTGTGCATCTTTACACCTTTATGATAATTCATAGTCACTAATGTGTGCATCTTTACACCTTTATGATAATTCATAGTCACTAATGTGTGCGTCCTTACACCTTTATGATAATTCATAGTCACTAATGTGTGCATCCTTACACCTTTATGATAATTCATAGTCACTAATGTGTGCATCCTTACTCCTTTATGATAATTCATAGTCACTAATGTGTGCATCCTTACACCTTTATGACAATTCGTAGTCACTAATGTGTGCGTTTTTACACCTTTATGATTATTCGTAGTCACTAATGTGTGCGTTTTTACACCTTTATGATTATTCGTAGTCACTAATGTGTGCAAGTGGCCGGAAGTACTCCACCATGCACCAGTCTACTGCTGTTCTCAACAGAGCACACGTAGAATGATATATTCATATTAAGGCATTTGCTCTAATGTACTCAAGCACAGACATGTTGGCTAATCTACACACTTATTCGAGGATACTAATTGCGACTACCAGCTGCAGTATTAAACTGTCTGCATATATGGAGTACAGTTCTAAGCCATAACCTTCATAATCCTTTCATTCGGTATATATCAGGCCATATTTGAAAGTAATTTTTTTCTTCGCCCTCTGAGAAGAGCTTCACCCTAACTGAAAATTACAGCATTGCTATCGGCGGCCGACCGTCTTTCTTCCACCCACACGATCACTAGTAGCACTGGAAAAATGAATGGATGGTAGTGTATAAATATTGACACGTACCCACAATACGAGCTAAGAACGGACGTAGCACAGATACGCCTTTTTTCCAGCCTCATCAGGGTCAGGATAATCCAAATAAAATGAAAAAAATTGCATTGCTATTTGTACAATGAGCCGCTTTTTTCCCTGAGTGAGAGCATTGCCAAAAATTATGGCCGGCATTCGTCGGCCAAGAGAAGGCTGGCGGTTGGCCTCCGTAACAGAACCAAGAACTTAAAGTTGTGTTGGGCTCTGCCATGAGTACCGAGTATTCCGGGGCCAATTAATCGCGCAAGTTTTGTCCCAGTGGCCGTTATGGCCATTCTTGGCCGGCTGTGCTCTGTAATTATCAGATTAATGGCCTGAAGAAACTTGAGCCGCCATGATGGATGGCGAGCAGGCGAGCAGCTACCCCTTTTGCTCGCAGTAATTCCTGCATGCGGGTACACTCTGAGAAATGAACGAGACTCTGTACAAATTGTGATGCACTTTTTTCTTTATGTGGGTCATTTTGGTGTAATTTTTTTTTTGTATGTGTCATTTTGCCTTAAAAAAGGTATGTGTTCTTAACAAGAGCAGTTGGGTAAGAAGGAGTGGACAAGTTTGAAGGAGAGGAGTTATTTGGACAATGTGATCGTCAATTTTTTTTTAGTTTCAGGAGTTCATGTGTTCGCTCTATAGTATCTTGGCTGCATGTGTAGGCTTGTGATGAAATTAGTGTTTATAATAGATACATGAATGGTGCATGAAAATACCATCATTTTGACTAATTTTGCTCGTAATTAATGTCTCATTAATTTAAATGCAGATAAAGAGAACAGAGTTACAGATTACTCACAAGAATGATGTTTAAATTCACGATGTTATTCCAGCAACGACACATGTATAAACTAATTTTATGGCGATATTCATCCTAGAGAAATTTTAAAGAAAAAAACAAACTCGATATTTGTTGATCATGCAAACCTTACTGTTCTAAATTGCACATCCTGAAATTCTTCCTGAATCTGACAGCCTCTGAAACATTCGACGCAGGCATAGGCGCGTCGCCTGCATTAGGCATAGGCGCGTCGCCTGCAGTAGGCATAGGCGCGTCGCCTGCAGTAGGCATAGGCGCGTCGCCTGCAGTAGGCATAGGCGCGCTGCCTGCAGTAGGCATAGGCACGCTGCCTGCAGTAGGCATAGGCACACTGCCTGCAGTAGGCATAGGCACGCTGCCTGCAGTAGGCATAGGCACACTGCCTGCAGTAGGCATAGGCACGCTGCCTGCAGTAGGCATAGGCACGCTGCCTGCAGTAGGCATAGGCGTGTCGCCTGCAGTAAGCATAGGCACGCTGCCTGCAGTAGGCATAGACGCGCTGCCTGCAGTAGGCATAGGCACGCCGCCTGCAGTAGGCATAGGCACGCCGCCTGCAGCAGGCATAGGCACGTCGCCTGCAGTAGGTATGGGCGCGCTGCCTGCAGTAAGCATAGGCACGCTGCCTGCAGTAGGTATAGGCGCGCTGCCTGCAGTAGGCATAGGCACGCCTCTTACAGCCACAGCTGTGCGGGATTTTCTGACAGCTCAGAAATAACTGCAAATAAAATTTGCTGGGAAGTTTGCGGCCGCTCGAGCGCTAAATTTGAGAGGCTCGACAGATGGGAAGGAGAGTGGCTCGCCAGAAGCGCTATTTACATTTTCTTCCGAAGAAAACTCGTCTTTTCAGGCCGACCGAAAGCTTTAAAATTTCGAGATAACTTCAGGGGCGGTGGAGCATGGCTCCCTGCCTCAGGAATATTATGCAATGCAAAGGATAAATAAATACTGGAATAAGTTCTTAATTTAGGCAAACAAAGTCCTGCGGATAATTTAGTTAAATCGTGAAGATAATTCAAATGTAGACTCTAAGTTCGCAAGTTGTGCAGTGCGATTGCAATTCATGGGCTCGCGGCAGAATCGTCAAGAAAATATATGAGTTTCTGTTTCTATGCCGAGCTTGACATACGGACGTATTGCCATGCGTATCCACATACTCAGTCCGAGTGAGAAAAATGTTTCAATGAAGACATTGTTATCTTGGAGCCAGTCCAAATTTTAAAGTGAGTTTAGCAATCGCAGATGTAGATTCAGATATTTCAAACTTGCCATCACCGTAAAAATCTTTTTGGAAGTTGCCATAGGATTATTTCTCTCGAAAAAAAAATGACAACTGCAACTAAAATTACTATTACAACTGCAAACGAAATAGCACGTGCAACCGCCATATTTACTGAAATTTCAACTGCAACTGCAACCGCAATTTTAATGAAATTTTAACTGCAACTGTAACCGCCATTGTAACTGAAATTTCAACTGCAACCGCAAATGCAACTGCGACTGCGTTGCCGACAGCGTATTGCGCACCACGAGTGACGCGTAATTCCAGTGGCTGATGCATGTTAGGAATTGATTGCAGCATTCCTGGTCTGGCGGGAATCTCTACAGGATCCCAGCTGATTCAGATTGGAAATTGATTGCTGCAATTCCGAGCCATGCGGGAGTCCCTGCAGGATTTGAGAAGGATTTATGACAAGTTATTTTGGGCTCTTAAAGCTGAAAATAGAGATTTGTTACATTCCGGGCAGTGATATGACTTCATTGATCAATTTAACCGTTATGAAAATAAATAAGTAAATTCACCGTTTAAAAAGAAGTAAAGTAACATGTAATACATCAGTTTTTGGTGTAGTAAAAGAAAGCAGATTGATTCTTACCAATGCTGGAAATATTCAAGGCAGAGGAAATATGCTTATAGCGGCCAGATAAATTGGCCGGGTTCAGATGCTAGAAAAAATTGGAATATTAATTGTCTGACGGAAATATGACGTTGCTGGCTGGCAAGTGCTTTTTAAGCTATTAATTACTGTATGGCAACGTCAATTTTGATCATATCTCCAATGTTTTTGTTAAAAAAGAACATAGCGGCAAAAAAGAGACTCGTTGAGCTCAGCTGGAAAAGTTAATTGCCTTTATTAAGGCGGCAGAAATTGTCACTGAGGCAGCAAACACTACCAATGAGGCACCAGCGATTGCCACTGAGGCAACAAACATTACTAGTGAGGCACCAGCGATTGCCACTAAGGCAACAAACATTACCAATGAGGCACCAGCGATTACCTCTGAGGCAACAAACATTACTAGTGAGGCACCAGCGATTGCCACTAAGGCAACAAACATTACCAATGAGGCACCAGCGATAGCCACTGAGGCGGCCGATGTGTGATGGCTTAAGATGTGACGGCTTCACTGTCTGCGTACATCAGTCGTGCGCGTGAAGTGCATACATCATTCATGCGTCTTTCATGCTTCATTCATGCGTCATTCATGCGTCATGCTTCGTCGGCGCAAGGTTGGCGTGGCAGTGGACGTGTTGCGGGTATACCGCCTAGTAATGAAATTGTGGATCACATCAGGATTATTTCCGGCCATAGTCGTCAATTCACCGCCCATATATACTGTTAAACACCGTGGCCTATATAAGGGTACGAATTTACTTCCATTATTCCGGTTTGCCTATTTGACTTGAGTAACACTTCATAATGTTAGTCCATATGAACCTATTTCTATACTAAAATCAGCGAGATTACCATTCATGAAATTTCACTCATTAACATTATTCAGATTAATTCATGAACATCTATGAAATTTAAATAAATTAAGTTACATAAAAATAAATTAATTTGTGGAATGTAATTGATAAAAAAGTATAAAATCTAATTTAAGAACATTTGTGACATATAATTCATGCACAATTGAATCAAATTCCCTTCATGAGTATTCATGAAATTTGATCCCAACACATTCATGAAGTGTCAAAACAATATATTTCTAGCATCCAATATAGACAGAACTAACCAAACACACTAATGCAGAAGCATCCAATTTCCTGGAGCCTTCATACAACATTCAGCAGGAAGCTCACGCAACAATATCGGGAATGTTGAATATGTCGCGCGTGTGGCAATATTTAACAGGAAATGCCCCGTTGACAGGCGCTGTAACAGTCCACGGTCACGCCATATTACGAGCCGGTTCCCTGAAGACGTGTGCGACAGAAGGCAGGATTCTAGATAACTGTTGTAAATTATCGTGTGATTTACGATGATTGTATAGGCAACGATGGTTGAAGGTTTCGGGGCGATCTTGTAGTTAAAGTCTGAACTTGCGAGAAATCTCTCCTTGACTAAATAATGAAATTATCCAAGAAAAAAAGAGCTGTGTGTCCTTAATTAAACAGTTTTAATTCTAACCTCTATCGACCTACGATCTTGAAGCTTTTCTACTCAGTGAGATGAAATCTCGCCGAATAGACAATAATTCATAAAAAATCATAATATAAAATATCGCCTCATAGATAATAATTCATATAATAAATTGCCTCCTTAGTGTCGAAAGAACGTTTGGGCATCCGGTGAGAATATTGGGTACAGGAGCGCTGCATTGTTGGGGGCATGGAGATGCTGCAATGACATGGCATACCGTGCCCAGGAAATGCCCCATCGCGGGGCGTCACAATGGAACTTCACGGCAGCCATTAACATTTTTGACGGCATGAAAATGACAAGTATTAAAAGTTAGGCGAAAACAGGGAATCACTAGACGTAGATGTAGGGCTTAGCTATGAGTTTATGCATTTTTTTATCAGCTTGTGCTATTACGAAGCTGATAGAGTAAATGCTAATGGGGGAACCCTGGCTCTCGTCAAAGTATGATCTGTCTAGCAGCGCACTCACTAATAATTCAATGAAGTTTTAAGAATTTAAATGAATAACTCAATCTTAAAATCTCGAGTTTTAATATTGTTGAAAGCGTTATACCTACATATAGCCACGGATGACTTCGTGGCATGCGCAGTAGAAATTCCAGTGTTTTGAAGTTTAGGGCAAAATTAGCAGCGAACTAAAATCGTTTTTCATAGCTGGTCCATTAGGTTGAAACAATGTGACAGATGTCGGAAATAAGAGGTAAAGCAAATAACAATCACTACAGGTATGAAATGCATCGCGACAATGATTAAAACAGCAATATCATTAATGACGAACCTATTCGCCTCACAATATAGAAGCGCGTCAAACCTACTAATAATAAATGGTTGCAGAGCGACAAGGAAACCAACAGGCCTAGCTCAGTTACCGCTCCTCTTGTCATTTATGAAACTCACGTTTTTGTGAAAGAAGCTCAAGTTCTTTTCCACAGTAATGTCACCAAACTAAAAATTTGTGTACAATTCATCGATAGGTAAAAAAATATAACTCAGTACTCACTGAAGTGAGTGACAGAGAGCGCATTTTCTCGTCGACAAAAACTTGAGGTCACGGACGGACAGACAGACAGACGGACATGGCGAGCACAATAGTGCATTTTTTCCATATATAAGAAAATGCGTTAAAAACAGAAGTATCTAAAGGATTGAGGCCCACGTATTGATCTGATCCACGATCTAGAGATCGGATTCCAGATCTAGTGATGTCATACCTGGTTGTGATCAGATTCTAGATCTTGCGACACTACCTAGATCTATTGAGCAGATTCTACATTTAGTGATGTCATATCATAATCAAATGACCAGATTAAAGATCTTGTGATCTCATACCTAGATCCGGCGGCCCTATTTGTGATCTGATGATCTCTTACGTACCAAGATCTCCGATTTGTCTTAGATGAGAGGCGCGTGATATGAGGGTTCGGCGCAAGGGGTAGGCGCCCGATAAGGGGTAGGCGCCCGATAAAGGGTCAGCGCCCGATAAGGTGTTGGCGCTTGATAAGGGATCAGCGCCCGATAAGGGGCCGGCGCCCTATAAGAGGCCGGCGCCCGATAATGGGTTGGCGCTCGATAAGGGGTCAGCGCCCGATAAAAGGTGGTCAGCGCACGATATGGGGTTGGCGCAAGCTAAAGGGTCGGCGCCTGATAAGGGGTCAGCGTCAGCAAAGAGGAGGTGCCCCATAAAGGGTTGGCGCCCATAATGCAGACTCGGTGGTGGGTGACGACGTCGGCTTATTCACTCATTTCCTATATTGCGTAACATGAATGAACAAGTGAACAATGCCAAGCAATACTCACCGATACACGTTTCTTCTTTAGCTAGTTATGATAATATGCTCGAAAATAAATACGAGTAATGATGAATAAATATGAATAATAATAATATAATAATAATGGAATAAACCAAGATAATATCGAATAAGAAAAAAATGGAGAAAAGTACCTTAGAAGAAATGCTTGGCGATATACTCTAAACTGTGGTGTACTGTAAACTGTGGTGTACAGTAAACTGGGGTGTACTGTAAACTGTGGTGTACAGTAAACTGGGGTGTACTGTAAACTGTGGTGTACAGTAAACTGTGGTGTACTGTAAACTGTGGTGTACAGTAAACTGTGGTGTACGGTAAACTGTGGTGTACAGTAAACTGTGGTGTACGGTAACCTGTGGTGTACAGTAAACTGTGGTGTACTGTAAACTGTGGTGTACGGTAAACTGTGGTGTACTGTAAACTGTGCT